CCTCAGCACCACATAAGCAAAAAGAAAAAAGCCGGAAGTGGCACTGTGGCTCAAGTGGTAGAGCGCTAGCCTTGAGCTGAAGAGCTGGGGGATAGAGCCCAGGCCCAGAGTTCAAGCCCCATGACTGGACAAAAAAAAAAAAAAAAGATGTTTAAAACTGTAAAAATACTGTCATCATTTGGAAGAGAAGTTATTGGAAGCCTACTTTCTGCATGTTATCCCTTAGCAAATATTTACAGCTCACATTTATTGATAGCACATAAAGTAATCATCAGAGCTAGTGTTTATCCAGCCCTCATTTTGTGCCAGGTTTAAAAATTGATTTATCTCTTAGTGTATGCCTACCATTTTCTCTTAAATTTTTAATCATTTTTTTCTGAAATACAACCTCAACATGTTTTGAAAATTAAAAAGCATAATAGGGTTTACAATAGGAGAAAGAATTCCCTGAATTTTCTTTCTACCTCAGCCTTACTTCCCCAAAGAGACTTATAAACTACTCTTAACACTCAAAGTGCTTCTGTGGAACTGAAGATGTGGCTTGGTCACAGAAGCTTGTCTAACTTGTGTGAGTCCTGAGTTTGATTCCCAACACAGGAAGACGGACAGTGTCTCAACTGCTTTCTTGCTTCTTCTAATAAAGAGCTTTACATAATTAAGAACATTTGAGTTCTGTATTTGGAGGAAAGGTTTTAACTGGATTGTATGCTTTTGAGATAACAAGGTATTCACGTCCAAGGAAGTATAGTCAGAGACCCTTTAATCAGTTGAGTGGGGAGATGGGGCGGGGGAGGATAGCAATCATGGGAAATGTCAACATCCACAGACACAAAGGAAGAAGTAAATGGCAAAGATTTATTGACAAAAAAGAGGGGGGGGTCCCGTGGGAGGGGACCACCCAGAGTGCATGGTGCTGGGGTTAATAAGGTGTCTTTAGGACAGAGCCACAGGACTGGCCATCATGGGAGAGTCTGATGGCCTATCAGTTCCCAACCCCCATCGGAGGCTCCACGAGGGAGCATGATGCTATTACTGTTGCCATTTTATGTACTTACTACACTGTACTTCTTAGTGTGAGCATGAGCACTCCACGTGTCTTTTAGCCCCGCTGGCGTCCATTCTGGCTCACAGTTCTGGGATCCAACCAGTCCACTGTTCATACACAAGTCTTCCTGGGAACAGTGGGCCAGGAACTTCCATGCGCACAGATGCTCAGAGCCCAGCTGGGGAATGTAGAGCTTCTATGGGAAGCGGCCTTTGGCCTGACTGCCCACTCAGGCTCTTTTTCTGCACACTTTATCATTGTATAGGATGCAAAATTCTTAGATTTTCTTTCTTTTCTACAATTAATATATATTATTTTCAGCATTAAACTATTCTTTTGAAAAAATTACTAAATTATTTTTGAATGTATTAGAATCCTAAGCCTGGTCCAAGCCCTGGGTACAAAGATATGAGACCCTGTCTCACAAAAACAAAGCCAAAAGTGCTGTCAGTGTGGCTCAGATGGTAGAGCACTGAACCTCATCCAGATGCTCTCGTGTTCCTGGAAGGAAGTTCAGATCTTCCTAACCAGGCCATAAACAAGATTTCAAAACCAAGTTCGGCACAGTTCCAATAACTGCTCTGCATTTTGGTCCACCAGCCCTGAATGAGGAAGTCTCCCATTTTGAAAAGCGGAAGGTGTTTATTTTACTTTCCACGGTGATGACATGGGCCCGATCCAAACCTCTGGACCCGGTAAGTAGACAGTGGAGGCTCCTCTACGCATGTGGTCTGGGCCCTCACCCCTGAGCTGCAGCCTGTTCCAGGCACTCTACATAGCTCCCTGACTCTCAGCACACACACTTCTAAGGAAGGCCACTGTGAACTACACCACTAAGAACTTTGTTTTGGGAGGGGGTGGACGCGGGGTGTTGACCTTGAGCCTTGAACTCAGCGCCTGGAAGCTGTCCATGAGCTCTTTTGCTCAAGGCTAGGGCTCTACCACATTGTGCCTCAGTACCACTTCCAGTTTTCTGGTGGTTAATTGAAGATAAGAGTCTCAAGGACTTTCCTGCCCAGGCTGGCTTTGAACCATGATCCTCAGATCTCAGCCTCCTGAGTAGCTACAATTGCAGGCATGAGCCACAGGCACCTAGCCCTTACCAAGAACTTTGAAATGCTGCCTAGTAAAATAGTCACGAGCCTCTTAACTATGTTTTGGTCCACGAGCTGGTGGTCCCAGAAGGTGAAAACCTGCTGTGGCCTCAAGATACGAGAGCTGCCCCAAATCCTAGCACACTGGGGGTCTCCGGTTGATACAAGCCACTGAGCTGCCAGGAGATGAAAGTAAAGCTCACACAATTAAGAGAGTGGGTAGGATGTGCGTATGCCGCTGTCGCGGCTGCTGTTTTATGTACTTACTGTAGTGTACTTCATAGTGTGAGCATGAAGTTTACTATAAAGAAATGTGCCACATTACAATGGCAGCAGGCCTGGGAGTCCCCTTGTGAGTCTCTCTCTGTCTTTAGGGGGTTTGAATTCACAGCCTCACGCTTGCTAGGCAAGTGTTGAACTGACATCCAGCACATAAATGCTAGCAATTTCTATGTCCTCTTTTTTTCTTTTATGTCAGTCATGGGGCTTGAACTCTGGTCCTGGCAGCTGTCCCTGAGCTCTTCAGCTCAAGGCTAGTGCTCTACCACTTGAGCCACAGCGCCACTTCTGACTTTTTCTGTGTATGTGGTGCTGAGAAATCGAACTCAGGGCCTCATGCATGTTAGGCAAGCACTCTACCACTGAGCCACCTTCCCAGCCCTGCTATGCCCTCTTGATGGAGAGCTCCATTTATTAAGTGACCTTCTTTGTCTCTTCTGACTAGTTTTGATTTAAAATATACTTCATCAGATGGTAGTAAGATACTCCTGCCTGCCTTCGGGTCCATTTATTTGGAAGATCTTTTTTCCAACCTTTCACCCTAAGCCAGTGTTGTTTTTGTCTGATAGATGTATTCCTTCTAGACAACAGATGGTCAGGTCTTGCTTTTTGGTACAATTTTCCATTCTATTTTTTTTTTTCTGTTTTGTTGTGCTGGGGCTTGAATGCAGTACCACAGTACCTCACATTCTTGCGTGGCTTTTTTGCTCACAGCTGGCACTCTACCATTTAAGTCACGCCTCTATTGATGGCTCTTTGCTGGTTAATTGGAGAAAACTCTCACTTATCTTTCCACCTCCAGGCTAGTTTTGAGCCTTGATCTTCAGAGCTCAGTCTCCTGAGTAGCAAGGATTATAGGCATGAACCACTGCCATCCAGCTTCCATTCTATGCCTTTGATTAGAGAATTGAGTCCCTTATTATTGGATATTAAAATTAAAGATGTGTGGGTAGTTCCTGCCATTTTTATTTCAATTTTGGTGTTAAATTCTTTCCTATTCTTCCTATGCTTATTGTCTTATCTTCTGGGATTTGTCTGCTGGGACTTGTTTTCTCTTCTTGTTCATGTTTACATTGATCTTCTGAGTTCAGAATGACTTTAAGTATCTTCTGTAGTGTTAACTTAGTAGTGATTAATTGCTTTAATTTTTGTCATGGAATTTTCATTTTTCCTTTGAATGTTCTGTGTTGGCAATTATTAACTTTTAGTGAAATACATCATTACTAGCTCTCTTGCTTTTAATGTTTCTGTTTGGAAATCTGCTGTTATTCTGATGAGTTTCCTATTACAAGTGGCATGCCTTTCTCTCTTGTAGCTTTCGGTATTCTTTTCTTTTTTTGGGGGGGGGGTCCGGTCATGGGCCTGAACTCTGGGCCTGGGCGCTGTCCCTTAGCTCTTCAGCTCAAGGCTAGCGCTCTACCACTTGAGCCACAGCACCACTTCCGAGTTTTTTTCTTTTTGCTTATGTGGTGCTGAGGAATCGAACCCAGGGCCTCAGGCATGCAAGGCAAGTGCTCTACCACTGAGCCAACTTCCCAGCCCCCTCGGTATTCTTTTCTTGTTCTCCATACTTGTTGTTTTGCCTTTAATATGTGGTGAGGAGGCTTTTTTTAAGGTCTACTGGGTGTTCTTTTTTTTTTTTTGTCAGTTGTGGGGCCTGAACTCTGGACCTGGGTGCTGTCCCTCAGCTCTTCAGCTCAAGGCTAACACTCTACCACTTGAGCCACCACAGTGTCACTTCAAGCTTTTTCTGCTTATAGTGCTGAGGAATTGAACCCAGGGCCTCATGCATGTGAGGAAAGCACTTTACCACTGAGCCACCTTCCCAGTCCCTACTACTGGGTGTTCTAAAAGCCTTTGGTACACAGGCTGGGAAGGTGGCTCAGTGGTAGAGTGCTTGCCTCTCATGCATGAGGCCCTGCGTTTGATTCCTCAGCACCACATAAGCAAAAAGAAAAAAAGCTGGAAGTGGTGCTGTGGCTCAAGTGGTAGAGCACTAGCCTTGAGCTGAAGAGCTGAGGGACAGTTCCCAGGCCCAGAGTTCAGGCCCCACGACCATCAAAAAAAAAAAAAAAGCCTTTTGTACATGGATGGGTTTTTCTTTCTCAAGATCTGGGAAGCTTTCTGCTATTACTCTGTTCAGTATAATTCCTATACCCTTAGCTATCATCTCCTCACCTTCAGATGTGCCCATCATTTGTATGTCTGGAATATCTCTACCTATAACCTATAGATCTATAGCTAGGTAAATATCTATACTTATCTAAATATATAGATAAATCTATTTATAAATATCTATCTATATCTATATGGATTTATAGATCTACAGCTAGATCTATAGATCTACATATACATACAGCTGGTCCTAGAGCTTGAACTCGGAGCCTAAGCATTGTCCCTGAGCCTTTTTTCCCCCTCAAGGCACTACCACTTGAACCATTGCTTTACTTCCAGCTTTTCTGGTACTTAACTGGAGATTAGAGTCTCACAGACTTTTCCTGCCTAGGATGCTTTAAACTATGATCCTTAGATCTCAGCCTACTGAGTAGCTAGGATTTTAACTGTGAGCCACTGCTGCCCAGCTTCATTGATATTTTTTTCTAAATGTTGTTCTGCTTTTTCTATGTGTGTTCTGTAATCAAGCTATGAGATTCTGTCTTCTATTGCTTTTTTGTCGGTAATGGGGCTTAAACTCAGGGCCTGGGCACTGTCCCTGAGCTCTTTGGCTCAAGGATATCACTCTACTACATTGAGCCACAGCTCCACTTCCAGTTTTTGAGTGGTTAATTGGAAGTAAGAGTCTCACTGGGACTTTTCTGCTCGGGCTGGCTTCCAATGGTGAACCTAATATCTTAGCCTCCTGAGTATCGAGGATTACAGGTGTAAGCTATCAGTGCCCAGCTTCTGTCTCCTATTTCTTTTCTTTTCCTTTCTTTTTTTTTTTTTGTCG